TCGCTGGAAGAGGGGCTGAGATGCTGGGGGAAGGGCCCACAACACTGATAACAGCAGGTGCCATGTTTTCCTCCACGCATTCTCTGAGGTACCTGTGGGGTTTGCTAGGGGTGACTGTGCCCTGGGAGAAAAGAAGAATCAGTTATTTGTAGGGAGAAGACCCCGTAAGTGCCAAGGCAGGAACAAAAAGCCTCAGCCTATTTCCACATAAATCATGAAGTAACTAGAAATACAACCCTAGTAGTTATTAGTTATTCATAGGCAATCTTAGTTATTCACAGGTGATCTTTCTTTTTTTTTTTTTTTTTTTTTGAGACGGAGTTTCGCTCTTGTTACCCAGGCTGGAGTGCAATGGCGCGATCTCGGCTCACCGCAACCTCCGCCTCCTGGGCTCAGGCAATTCTCCTGCCTCAGCCTCCTGAGTAGCTGGGATTACAGGCACGCGCCACCATGCCCAGCTAATGTTTTGTATTTTTAGTAGAGACGGGGTTTCATCATGTTGACCAGGATGGTCTCGATCTCTTGACCTCGTGATCCACCCGCCTCGGCCTCCCAAAGTGCTGGGATTACAGGCTTGAGCCACCGCACCTGGCCCTATTCACAGGTGATTTAATTTTTACTAATGACTCTCAGGTGGGAAATGCAAACCTGGGGTGACACTGTGAAATGAATGATACTGAGGCAAGATGCTCTAAACCCTCTGTCACTCCCGCGTAAGGGCTGCTGGAGGGCACCTCAGCTGTGCCGCAGCGCCAGCGCTGGGAATGTGCCCGCTGTTTAGCCAGTTAGGGAAGGAGACGTCCAAAATAACTGAGACGTCCCAGAGATGGGAGAAAACTCCGATTCTCCAAGCTCTTATGGTACGGCCTGAGAGCTGTCAGGGAGGCCCACAAACGCTGGGAGCTTACTTGTCTATGTGCTGTGCTTCAGCGGTCACGTTCCGTGTGTGTACCTCGTTCCTTTTTTCTTAGAAAAGATAATCAGTAAGAGTAACATAAATACTAATGTCTTTCTTCTTTCTTAACAAGTATGGAAAAGCTGACATATTATGCTCCTTACCTCATCCCGACTAATTCCTGGGCCCCCACCTGTGTGCCACGCCCTATTTTACCCTGCCCCCAGTCACCGACCACCAAGGCTAGGCCCTACCTATGCCCTACCTTCCCTGCCGCCAGATTTGCAACTCAGTAAGAGTGAGAGCGTCCCGGCATTCGGGGCCACTGCTGGTCTCTGCGATTTGTGGACCCTTGGGCCCAAACTCTCTTTTTCTCTCTCTCCGAGTCTTTTGTCTTTTATTTCTACAATTTCTCGTCTCCGTGCCAGCCGGGAGGGGATCACAGAACCCTGTAGGGCTGGACCCTACAATTATTATTATTTTTTGAGACAGAGTTTTGCTCTTATTGCCCAGGCTGGAGTGCAGTAGCCCGATCCCGGCTCACGACAACCTCTGCCTCCCAGGTTCAAGCCATTCTTTCACCTCAGTCTCCCAAATAGCTGGGATTACAGGTGCCCACCATCACGCCCAGCTAATTTTTGTATTGTTAGTAGGGACAGTTTCACCATGTTGGCTAGGCTGGTCTCGAACTCCTGACCTCAGGCGATCCACCAGCCTCAGCCACCCAAAGTGCTAGAATTACGGGCGTGAGCCACTGTGCCTGGCCGGAAAAAAACAGTTATTTCAGGGGATGACATGGGTGGTAATCTTTACGGGTTCTGAATCATTCTTAATCCCAGGGGTCCAACATGCCACTGGCCTGCCAGTAAGAGGGAAGGCGTGTGGTGCTCAGGTGGCAAGAAGGTCCACAGACCTCATCTGTGGTTGTCTTTCCAGTTCCTGAATGTGTAATTTTTTTTTTTTTTTTGAGACGGAGTTTCGCTCTTGTCACCCAGGCTGGAGTGCAATGGCGCGATCTCGGCTCACCGCAACCTCCGCCTCCTGGGTTCAGGCAATTCTCCTGCCTCAGCCTCCTGAGTAGCTGGGATTACAGGCACGTGCCACCATGCCCAGCTAATTTTTTGTATCTTTAGTACAGACGGGGTTTCACCATGTTGACCAGGATGGTCTCGATCTCTTGACCTCGTGATCCACCCGCCTCGGCCTCCCAAAGTGCTGGGATTACAGGCTTGAGCCACCGCGCCCGGCTTTTTTTTTTTTTTTTTTTTTTTGAGACGGAGTTTCGCTTTTGTTACCCAGGCTGGAGTGCAGTGGCAAGATTCTGGCTCACTGCAACCTCTGCCTCCCAGGTTGGGTTCAAGTGATTCTCCTGCCCCAGCCTCCGGTGTAGCCGGGACCACAGGTGCATGCCACCACACCTGGCTAATTTTTTGTATTTTTAGTAGAGAGGGGTTTCACCATGTTAGCCAGCATGGTCTCGAATTCCTGACCTCGTGATCCACCCGCCTCAGCCTCCCAAAGTACTGGGATTACAGGCGTGAGCCACTGTGCCTGGCCCTGAATGTGTTAATTTTTTTTTGCTTTTTTTAGAGATGGGTTTCACCATGTTGGCCAGGCTGGTTTTGAACTCCTGACCTCAAATGATCCACCCGACTCGGACTCCCAAAGTGCTGAGATTACAGGTGAGAGCCACCATGCCCGGCCTGAATGTGTAATTTTAACAGTCACACTTGACAACTGGGAAACTCCCACACTGACCAGCAGAGCAAGAGCCAGCCGGTTAAGAAGGGCCAGGTGTACGTCTCCTTTCCAGGGTAGTAGTCCAAAGGCAAAATGCGTTGCTGACTTGGAAGAGTTTTGCATGGGTGATTCACCTGGGAAGAAGGTGGGTGGCCCTTGGGGATGTGGTTAATGTTAAAACGTGCACCCTGAATGAAGAGACTCCCCAAACAGGCTTCGTGTGAGCAACATGGCTGTTTATTCACCTGGGTGCAGGTGGGCTGAGGCCGAAAAGGGCATCAGCAAAGGGCAGTGGCATAGGAGTCGGTTTTATAGGTTTGGGGTGGGTGGTGGAAAGTTACAGAGTAAGATCAGTTACAGTGGTGGGGGTAGGGGCAGGGAGTGTACATTACGGTAAGTTCAGTTACAATGGCAAGTTCAGTTACAATGGCGGGTAAGGCTTAAGCGTAGTTAAGAGGTAAGGTGAGGAGTCATTACATTACAGCCGAGGCAGGCAGGACTGCAGACTTTCTGGGTCCGGGCTTGCACATGGAGGCCTGACAGTTAAGGAGGACAGGCATGACTCCATGCAACTGCTTGCTGCTCCCCAGCCTCATCACCAGGACAAATCCAGCTCGCTGGTTTTCTCTGCGACTACCAGAACCCATCTGCGTGCCCTCCGCCCACTGCACAGCTCAGCAGACCTGCCTCTGGGCCGTGTGGGGGCTCCTGCTCTCTGCCCCCATCTGCTCAGAGATCTGGATCATCACCACCTCTCAGAGGACAACCTTATTGAATTGGGTGAGCTGAAGTTAACAGGTGCTTTGGGAGGCAGAGGCAGGTGGATTGCTTGAGTCCACGAGTTCGAGACCAACCTGAGCAGCACACGAGACCCCATCTCTACAAAAAATGCAACAACAGCAACAAATTAGCCGGCGTGGTGTTGCTCGCCTTAGTCCCAGCTACTTGGGTGGCTGAGGTGGGAGGGTGGTTTGAGCTCGGGAGGCAGAGGTTGCAGTGAGCTGAGATCACCCCTGGAACTCCAGCCTGGGCAACAGAGCAAGACTCTGTCTCAAAAAAGCCCACAGAGGGCCGGGCGCGGTGGCTCAAGCCTGTAATCCCAGCACTTTGGGAGGCCGAGGCGGGTGGATCACGAGGTCGAGAGATCGAGACCATCCTGGTTAACATGGTGAAACCCCGTCTCTACTAAAAATACAAAAAATTAGCTGGGCATGGTGGCATGTGCCTGTAATCCCAGCTACTCAGGAGGCTGAGGCAGGAGAATTGCCTGAACCCAGGAGGCGGAGGTTGCGGTGAGCCGAGATCGCGCCATTGCACTCCAGCCTGGGTGACAAGAGCGAAACTCCGTCTCAAAAAAAAAAAAAAAAAAGCCCACATTACAAGCAAGTGCTGGCGACGCCTCGGGCAGGGGGCCCCCGCCGGGAGCCAGCCCTCCTCGGGACAGCAGGTCTTGTCAGCAGGAGCCCCCGGGCATGCGAAGGGTTTGGGGGCACAGAGGCAAGAGAACACCTGCAGGACGCAGCTGCCCCCTAAGCCGAGGCTGGGGACCCGGAGGAAAGGGTGGTCCGCGCAGGCGCTGGGGGAGGCCGCGGGGAAGGGGGAGCCCGGGCACAGCGCTGGGCCTCGGAGGAGCGGGCGGCCCCCAGGTCTCGAACCCGAGCCCTCGCCCCGGGCTTCGTTCTGGAGAACGCTCCAGCTGCCGCTTGGGCGTCTAGGGCTGCGCCCGGCCTAGTTCCTTCCCTACCTGGAGGGAGCCGGGGCGCGGAAGGCCCTCCGGGAACGCAGGACGAGGGCGTGGCCGCGACCCTCCGGTGCCAGTCGGGGCGGGGCCTGCTAGGCGCACGGGGCGGGGCCGGGCGGAGGGCGGGGCCTGCTGGACGCTCGGGGCGGGGCTGGACGGGGCGGGGCCTGCTGGACGCTCGGGGCGGGGCTGGACGGGGCGGGGCCTGCTGGATGCACGGGTCGGGGCTGGACGGGGGCGGGGCCTGCTGGACGCACGGGACGGGGCTGGACGGGGGCGGGGCCTGCTGGACGCACGGGATGGGGCTGGATGGGGCGGGGCCTGCTGGACGCACGGGACGGGGCAGGACGGGGGCGGGGCCTGTTAGGCTCACGGGGCGGGGCTGGGAAGAGGGCGGGGACCTGCTAGACGCACGGGGCCGGACTGGACGGGGGCGGGGTCTGCTGGACGCACGGGGCGGGGCTGGGCGGGGGCGGGGCCTGCTGGACGCACGGGATGGGGCTGGACGGGGGCGGGGCCTGTTAGGCGCACGGGGCGGGGCTGGGAAGAGGGCGGGGGCCTGCTAGTCGCACGGGGCCGGACTGGACGGGGGCGGGGCCTGCTAGACGCACGGGGCGGGGCTTGGACAGCGTAGCTCGCCCGTCAGTGCGGACGCGCGGCGTCGTCCCGTCCGCTTCGGCTCTGCGGCTAGGGGCCTGCGGCGGGCTCTACGGGTTGGAGCCGGGGACGCGGTCGCGGGTGCGTGCGCGCGGCCGTCCGGGGCGCTGAGTCCGAGGGTCCCGGGCTGCGGCTCCACGGCGGGTTGCGTTCGCGGGGCGCGAGCTCCGGCGCCGTCCGCCAGTCAGGCTTTTGCCGGGGCGGGGGCGGGGATGGGGGGTGGGGAATGCGAGCTGCAGCTAGTCACGTGACCGCGCGGGACGTGCGCGCGTCCGCGGGGTCCTGGGCGGAGTCCCGGAGGGGCCGCCCCGAGCCTGCGCGTCGCCGACTCCGGGCTGGCGGCGGGGCCTTCGCGGCTCGCGGGGTCGTGGGCCGGGCCGCTGGCGGGCTCGGGTGCTCGGAGCCTTCCCTTCGCTGCCCCCGCCCTTCTCTCTGCTGCTGCAACCGTTTTTCGGCTTGTGGAAAACGTGCGTGAAACATGAACTTCCCTCGGCCACTTCCAGGCACGCGGCCAGCGGCTCCCGGCCCTTCCCCGCCGGACCCTCGCCCGGAAGAAGCCCGAGGCCTCCGTCCCGGCGGCGATGCTGCCCCGGCGGCCGCTCGCCTGGCTCGCGTGGGTTTTGCGGGGTCCCCCGGGACCGCGCGGGGCCTGCGCCCCCGGAGCCGCGGGTTCTTGGAGTAAGCGGGCTGGTCCCCTGGCCCGCAGGGGCTGCTGCACCGCCCCCGGGACCCCCGAGGTGCCGCTGACCCAGGAGCGCTACCCCGTGCGGCGCCTGCCGTTCTCCGCGGTGTCTGAGCAAGACCTGGTCGCCTTTGAGCGCATCGTGCCCGGCGGGGTCGTCACGGACCCGGAGGCGTTGCAGGCCTCCAACGTAGACTGGCTGCGCACGCTGCGAGGTGGGTGAGGCTCGGGAGCCGCGGCGGGGCCCTGCGCCTTCCCGTGGAGGCTTCAGAGCCGGCTGAGAACGCGCTGGGTGGGGGCGCCGACCCCGGCTGCGCGGACGGGGGCGTGTGTACCCACAGGCTGCTGGAATAAATGACCACAAACGGGGGCTTGGAACAACCCAAATTTCCGGGCGCAGTGGCTCTGCCTGTAATCTCAGCAGCCCCGGAGGCTGAAGCCAGGAGCTGGAGACAGGCCTGGGCAACATAGGCCCCTCTCACCTCCACCGTCTCTAAAAATAAAAATGGAAATAAGTAAAATGAGCCCGCCCAGGACTGAAAAAGCAAAGTAAAAAAGTTACTCCAGCCCGGGGGTTCAAGTTTGCAGTGGACTGATCTCACCACTGCGTTCCTGCCTGGGCAACAGAGCAAGACTCCATCCCTAAAACAAAACAGACACCCCCCCCACCGCCCCCACAACCCCCCAGAAGTTTATTCTCTCAGCTCTGGAGGCGAAAAGCATGAAATGAAGGTGTCACAGGCTGCGCTTCCTCCAAAGCCTCCAGAGGAGGTTCCTTCCTGCTTCTTCCAGCTCCTTCTGGCCCCAGCCTCTGCCTTGTTTTTCATACGGGCTCGTCCTCCCCCCCAGTTGTCTTATAAAGGCACTTGTCATTGGATGATCCCTCCAAATCCACGGTGACCTCATCTCAGTGCTGTCAAGTTAATTACATCTGTTTTTCCTTTTTTCTTTTTGAGACAGGTTTTCTCTTGTTTCCCAGGCTGGAGTGCAATGGCGTGATCTCAGCTCACTGCAACCTCTTGCTCCCGGGTTCAAGCGATTCTCCTCCTCCCAAGTAACTGGGATTACAGGCACCCACCACCACACCTGGCTAATCTTTGTATTTTTAGTAGACGGGGTGTCACCATGTTGGCCACGCTGGTCTTGAACTTCTGACCTCAGGCGATCCACCCACCTTGGCCTCCCAAAGTGCTGGGATTACAGGCATGAGCCACCTCGCCAGCCGGACCGTTTTTTCAAATAAGGTCTCATTCACAGGTCATGGGGTTGGGAAGCCGACATATCTTTATGGAGCCCACTAGGTAAGATACAGGGCTCCTGGCCGGCCATGCCTGCTCCTCTCCTCCCACTGCACCCCTGTGCACTGGTATACAAGTCTGTGCACGAGTGAGGGACTTCTCAGCCTCCAGGGCTGGCACTTCCTTTTGGTAACAGTGCCCAGCTTTCTCTTTTATTATTTTGACATGGAGTGTATCCCTGTCACTAAGGCTGGAGAATCGCCTGGTATAGGGGGCTTGATGCTTGACAGGGGGCTCCTGAGGGTGGGGCCAGCCCAGCGCAGGGAGCGAGCTGCTGCTGTGAGTGGCTGGAGTCCCAGGCGTCCTGGACTTCGGTGGGTTGGCAGCCCTAGACAAGCACAGACAAAAGGGCACGGCTGTGTCTCTGCCCAGCTTTATTTACCACGGGAGGCAGCACACAGATTTGGCTGTGGGCTGTTGTTTGCTGACCCTCTTGTAGGTAGGTAGTACCAGGAGGAGCTGGGGAAAGGAGCTGATGGACAGACGCGGGGGCTGGGACCCCCGGAGGGGTGCGGGGGGGCTGTCTGGTGGGACCTGGAGAAGGCTGTGGGGCAGGGCAAGTGCTTTCCACACCCCAGGTCAGTGGTGTCCCCATGAGGGAGAGGGGCCAGTGGTCCCCAGAAAACTGCAGGGATGCAAAGACCAATGAAACAGGCTTGGGTGGGAAGGCACAGAAGCCACCAGACAGTTGGAAGACAGCTGCTCCGGAAATTCCTGGCATGTTTTGGAGTTGAGCAGGTGGAGGGGTCTCCTGTGGCTCCCGGGGGTGTGTGGCTCTGGGGTAGTTTTTGATTGCCACACACTAGGGGGTGCTTCGCTCACTGTGGGTACAGGCCGACGGTGCCCTGTGTGTGGGGATAGGAGGGATGGTCACCAGTGTGCCTCCAGCCCCTTCCCCTGGATGCACTTACATCAGATCTGGGCGTTTCCTGCGTCACCTCTGGCACCTCTGCCCCTTCGGCCCCTCCCTCTGTGAGACTCCCATTATTAACATGGGGCCACCAGGAGGGAGCCCTCCTTTTTCTCTTTCTTATTGGGAGGTAAACATCAGAGGAGTGGGAAATCCTCTTCTCATTCTGTGTCAGGGACGCGGCCTGGCCTTCATTCTGGGGAGGAGGGAGAGGTGCACTCATGTGTGTGTTGAGAACCCTGCCACGGGCGCCTCACAGTGCCGGAGTTGAAAGCTTTGCTACAAGTCCTGAGGCTCCCGAGCCCACCGGGGGAAAGGGACGCAGTGAGCACAGGTGCTCGAGTTCCCTCGGGTGCTGCGCTGAAGCATCGGGCCTAGCCTGGGCGCCAGCAGGCCCTGCCACAAAAATTGCTCATTTGATGAAAGAGAAATAAGTGGCTTTCCGATCATAAAAGAAAGGTGGACGCCACAGCCTGGTTCTCAGAGCTTCTGAAGAGTGGGGACGGGCACCTGTGCGTGCACCTCTGCTTCTCTGCAGCCCTTGTCACCTGGGAAAGTCATCTCGAGGAAACCTAAAGACAGAAACGCCTGCTCACTTGGGGCAGCAGTGGTTAGCAACCCCAGGCAGTTAACTTAGAAGGCTCCCGCCACTCACATCCTCGCATTCAGTACATAAGGCAGCCCAGAGTTACAGCCCAGTGGATAAAATGAGAAATCGCAAGCCCACACCGCTGTGAATCAGCGGCTACAGAACATTTCAGGAGCAAGGAGAAAGCCCTCTTGTGGCAGAGGCAGCTAAGAAGCCGGACGCAGTGGCTCATGCCTACATCCCCAGCCCTTAGGGAGGCTGAGGTGGGTGGATTGCTTGAGGCCATGAGTTCAAGACTAGCCTGGGCAATATGACAAAACCGTTTTTACTAAAAATACCCAAATTAGCCAGGAGTTCTAGCTACTTGGGAGGTTGAGGTAGGAGGATCGCTTGAGCGCTGGAGGTTCAGGCTGCAATGAGCTGTGATTGTGTCACTGTACTCCAACCTGGGTGACAGAGCGAGACCGTGTCTCAAAAGAAAAAGGAAATGTAGGTGGATGGATGGATTTAGAAAAATCAGTTGGCAACCGTCCTGGTAACTGATTCAGTCTAAGATAATCAAAGATGCTAAAATAAATGGGTGAGGCTTGAGGAGCAACATGATGTGCATGTGGTTTCAAGCATCTGCTTGTGAGGTGTGAGTGCCTCACGAAAGGAAGTGTGGGGACGTAGCAGCAGGGGAGGGGACATCCCTCCCACAGACATCCCTCCCACAGACATCCCTTTACCATGGACCAAGCGCTTGCCACAAGGGGGTGGACAGCTTCAGAGCCGCCAGTACCTGGCCTGTGGGACGCTTGTCCATGGGGCCCAGCCTCACCCACCTCCACACACTGCGCTCAGCGCCCACCTGCCACGTCCCATGAGGGACCTAGTTTTGGTTTTTCTGAGACAAAGGTCTTACTCTGTTGCCGAGGCTGGAGTGTCGGATTGGGATCATAGCTCACTGCAGCCTTGACCTCCTGGGCTCAGGTGATTCTCCCACCTCAGCTTCCCAAATAAGATCACTTGGGGCTGGGCATGGTGGCTCACACCTGTAATCCCAGCACTTTGGGAGGCCGAGGCAGGTGAATCACCTGAGGTTAGGAGTTCGAGACCAGCCTGGCCAATGTGGTAAAACCCCGTCTCTACTCAAAATACAAAAATTAACCAGGTGTGGTGGCACACACCTGTAATCCCAGCTACTCAGGAGGCTGAGGCAGTAGAATTGCTTGAACCCAGGAGGTAGAGGTTGCAGTGAGCCGAGATTGCACCACTGCACTCCTGCCTGGACATCACAGCGAGACTCTGTCTCCCCCCCCCCCAAAAAAAAAAGCTCACTCTCTGGGGTGAGGGCTCACTGGCCTTACCTGCAGCTTCCCCCACGTTGTCTCACGGGGTCTCCTTCCTGTCACAGGCTGTAGCAAGGTGCTGCTGAGGCCACGGACGTCGGAGGAGGTGTCCCGTGTCCTCAGGTAAGGTGGCCCCATGCCCTTCTCTGCTGCTTGCTGGTTGTTTTCCTCATGGAGCCTGTGGGCAGCTGGGTGACGCGTGGAAGCCAGCTGTGACATCTGGGTTTGTGTGTCTGTTCTGCGGCTAAGTGCTATCTTGCTGCATCTGTGGTGTGTAATCATTTCCCCCCATTGGGCAATGCCATCGCCCGTTTCTTGGCGCTGTTTGTAACAGCAAAGATCCTCCCCCGTGAATATACTACAGGGTTGCCCACTGAGCTGGTCTCCAGGTTTCCACGACCGTGGGCAGTGCTTTAGATCATCCTCAGCGGGTGCTTCCGGGCAGTTTGCACCCACTCTGTTGGACTCCATCCCTGGGCCTGCTCCCTCCAGGGTTTATTTCACATACATGGCAGATTCCTCTCCCCAGGGCAGGGAGCTTTGGTTTCTTCAAACCCCTACCCGTTGGGTGTGCTCAAGGCTTTGGGGCTTTGCGAAGGTGGAGACTGGTTGGGAGTGAGGTATCCTTGGGCACACGTCTTTGGGATGATGGAGCAAGGCTGGGGAGATGCAGGCGGGGTTTAGGGGGTGGGGGCAGTGCCGTCAGGGAGCCCTGAGCTGGACCCTCTGTGAGCACAGTATGAAGGGGGAGGATGGCAGCGGGGCACATAAGACATTCTGTCCTTTGAGGGGAGCCTTGTAGGACATTGGAATCAGGGCCTCCCTCCATCTCCCTGTGGCCTCCCATCTCCTCCACGAGGGCCTGTATCTCCTCCATGTGGGCCTCCGTCTCCTCCATGAGGGCCTCCACTCCGTTTCCCATCACAGCTTTCGGGTTGGCATCTCTCTCTCCTCAGAATCCCTCGTGTGAGCCCCCACCGAGGCTGTGGGCCGTGCAGGGTGATCAGGATTTGGGGTCAGGCGCTGGTCCTACGACATGTCCTTGAGGATGGTGGCGTGGGGGTGGGGACAGAGCCCCGACGCCCCTCCTGTTTTCATCCCAGGCACTGCCACGAGAGGAACCTGGCCGTGAACCCACAGGGGGGCAACACAGGCATGGTGGGTGGTAGCATCCCCGTCTTTGACGAGATCATCCTCTCTACTGCCCTCATGAACCGGGTCCTCAGCTTCCACAGCGTGTCCGGTAAGCCCGTGCTGTCCGTTGGGGTGCTGGCCGGAGTTTTTCCTTGCCAGTTTCTGCAACTGTGCTGTGCTTGGGTGGGCAAATGAGTCAGGGGCCGGGCTGGGGAAAGAACCAGTGTCTGTAGCCTGGGCGCCAGCCCCACCTCCCCCAGCTCCTCCAGACGTGCCTGCTGTGGGATCACTTGGATGATGGATGCTGAGGGATCGTTGCTCCGGTCCCTTCCGGCTCTAGCCACTCTGGAGCGTGTGTGATGCGGCAGGTGTGAGGGGGTGCTGTGCTGCTGTGGCGCGGGGCAGACCCCAGTGGCCGGGGTCCTGCCTTGGGGCTCTCCCACAAGGCCGGGCTCCTGGTGCCGGTCACTCTCTGTGGTCAGCCCCCTGGCACTGTAGGGTGTTGAGCAGCATCCCTGGCCTCCGCCTGCCAGGTGCCTGCAGCATCCCCAGCCAAGAATGTCTGCAGACACTGTCCCACGTGCCCTGCGGCAGGAGCAGCCCCAGCTGAGAAGCGTCACAGCAGGCTCCCCTCTCCCACACCTTTCCCTGAGCGTGTGGATGTGGGAAGTTTGGGAAGTTTTTCTGTCTCTTCACCTTCTCCGTTTTCCTTATGTATCCCTGTAACCATAAAGGTCCCTTCAGGTCTGATTTCTCCTTGGCCCAGCGATGTGCGGACGCCTCTTCTCGGCCCTGGCACTGAGGCTGATGTGCTGTCTGGGTGGCTTGTGTGTGCAGGACGTCGGGGAGGGCAGGACCCCCCAGCCCGGGGGTGCCTCGACAGCCTGGTCGCTCTCTGCAGGAATTCTGGTTTGCCAGGCGGGCTGCGTCCTGGAGGAGCTGAGCCGGTATGTGGAGGAGCGGGACTTCATCATGCCACTGGACTTAGGGGCCAAGGGCAGCTGCCACATTGGCGGAAATGTGGCAACCAACGCTGGGGGCCTGCGGCTTCTTCGATACGGCCCACTGCGCGGGACCGTGCTAGGCCTGGAAGTGGTGAGCCGGGGCAGCGGCTTGGTGCAGGGCTTGCCACGGGGCGTCCTGTGACGGCCCTCGTGGTCCCAGGTGGCGGCAGAGGTGAATGGGGCTCCTCAGGGGGTGGGCGGTCTTGGTGCCTGGCCCTGGGCCCCTCAGGGACGTGCGGGGTACACAGCCCCCCACCCTGAGGAAGGCCTGGCCCTACCCTGCCCTTCCATGGTGGTTATGCGCTCACTGCCTCTCGGCCACACGGAGAGGATGCAGTTATGGGGGGACCCACCCCAGCAGCAGCGGGCTTCCGGGAGCCAGGCGTGAAGGAAGACTCACCCGGGGTCGGCTTCGTGTCCTTCCGTGTCTGCTGTTCCTCCAGGGCCCCTCTGTGTCCCCGCACCCTCACCAGCCGAGTGTCCCGGGCAGAGTGCTCCGTCCTGTTTACCCGGGTGGACGAGGCAAACGCAAAACCGTGCTTTGCTTTCATCCAGTAAATTATGACGTCCCGGTAGCTTTTTTTCTGGCCAGCCACTGATTATCTGTATTGTAAGTTACTTTCTTGCACTCGCGAGCTGTATAAGCCTCCGACTCATAGTACCAGCACTCAGGACTTGGCGAGGCCTGCAGCTCCGGAGCTTTGACGCCTTGTGGCTGGGGGTCCGGAGGTGCTGGGTCCTGGGCCGGGCGGTTCTCTGCGTTCTCCGTGTTCCACCCCCAGGGAGCCTCCCCACTGCCCCACAGGTGTGCCCTTGCGTTGGGCAGTGAGCTCCTGCGTGTGGAGGGGGTCTCCTGCAGGAGGAACGTCCATCCTTCAGCCTCTTGGCATGACCTCAGCCTGTTGCAGACATGACTCCTGCCCCAGAGATGACCGAGGTCTCGTCAGCAGGCAGCTGAACTTGCTTCTCTTGTTCCCCAGGTGCTGGCCGACGGCACGGTCCTGGACTGCCTGACCTCCCTGAGGAAGGACAACACGGGCTATGACCTGAAGCAGCTGTTCATCGGGTCGGAGGGCACTTTGGGGGTCATCACTGCAGTGTCCATCCTGTGTCCACCCAAGCCCAGGGCTGTGAACGTGGCTTTCCTTGGTGGGCTTCCTGGAGTTGTGCCTTGAGACGGGGGGCTGGGCTCGAGCGTCTGCTCTGATAGAGCCGCTGCTGGTGTGAGTGAGGGGATGGAGGGAGCCCTCACAGGAGTCAGTTCCGGTGTGTTCCCTGATGTCTCTGCTTCCAAAGGAATCGGGAGTCCAGGACCCCACTCCACTGGTGGTCATGGGTAAAGGTCTGGAGTGAGGCCTCTCCCTGTCTCTGGTCACAGCACACTTGATTCCGTAACAAAACTGGGGTTTGTGTCATCTTCACCCCACTGTGTTGGTTAAGTAGGTTGTGGGACATCTGTCATTTGGTCTAAGTTTAGGACACCACTCTTAGTTAGCGTGGGAATCAAGAATTCCCTCCTGTAAGAGGGAGGCTTCTCCAGTCAGCCCTGATGGCGGGTGGGGGGCGGTCTCAGCAGACCTGCTTGCTGCCTTGTGTCCACAGGCCTGCTTCCCTCACGGCCAGCCGGAATGGGAGCTCACAGCCACATCTTCAGTTCTCCCCCCCGGATCTCCCTTCGTCTCCTTTCTTGCCTTCATTTGAATGGGGCAGGTTTATGTAGCGTTTTCTCCTCCAGGACTTCAGAAGCTGCACAGCCCGTCCGTCTTTGAGTGAGTGTGGCTGCAGTGCGGTGGGTCTACCTCACCAGCTCCAAGAGCAGTGTCCTGACCTGCCAGGAGATGGGGCAGCCTTGGAGGCTCCTGTGACTTGTTTGTTCCCTCAGTCACTTATATCTCGTTGTGATGTGTGTTCATTCCATATTGTAAACAGTCTCACCAGAATTATTATTTTATGGCCATTTTCTCTGCTCTTCACTCTCTTCCATCTGATCTTCCCTTTGGGATTATGTTGCAAACAGACTTGTTCATTTTCTGCAGTAGAGGTCTGCTGGTGACCACCTCCTCACTTCCTTATTTCACTCTCATTCTGGAAGGCTCTTTTCCGCAGGCACGTGGCTCCAGACTGGCATTTGTTTTCTTTTATCCCTCTGGATATGCCAACCCAATGTCCTCTGGCCTCCTCGCTGTTGGGAACTTTGCTGTTGGTGACTGCTGCTGTGAAGGGATTCTGCCTGTCTCCCAGCCCAGCTTGGGCCACTTTATAGATCATTCTTTTTGCTCTTCTGAGGTTTTCAGTGGTGGCGTGTATATGTTCTTTTTCATCTCTTTGAAATTACTAAATTTTTTAAACCTGTGGCTTGGTTTCTTTTACCAGTTCTAGAAATTCCTAGCCACTATTGCTTCAGATGTTGCCTGTGTTTTCCTCTCTTTTTGGGACAGTGATTCTGGATAGAACTTCTCAGTCTGTCTTCTACGTCTCTTGAACTGCTCTCCACAGTCTTATCATTGCGTCTCTGTGCTGCATTCTGTGCAATTTCTTCTCACCTGCCTTCCAGTTCATGAACACCCCCTTCAGCTGTTCTGTATGCTGCGGAACCCCGCCAGGGATGGTTCCTTCCATACGTCGAGTTTTAAATTTTGATTATGAAAGCTCTTTATTTCTAGAAGTTTTGTTATGTTTTTCAAATCTGCAATGTTACTTTTTATGAGTTTTTTTTTTTTTTTTTTTCCTGAGGCGGAGTTTTGCTCTTGTCGCCCAGGCTGGAGTGCAGTGGTGCGATCTTGGCTCACTGCAACCTCTGCCTCCCGGGTTCAAGCGATTCTCCTGCCTCAGCCTCCCGAGTAGCTGAAATTACAGGCATGTGCCACTATCTATGCCTGGCTAATTTTGTATTTTTAGTAGAGACGGGGTTTCACCATGTTAATCAGGCTGGTCTCAGACTCCTGACCTCAGATGATCTGCCTGCCTCAGCCTCCCAAAGTGCTAGGATTACAGGTGTGAGTCACTGCACCCAGACTGTAGGTTTCTATTCTGGGTATTCTCAAGCTCATCATTTGTGTCTTTAAACATAATTTGACACATGTAATCCCAGCACTTTGGGAGGCCGAGGCTGGCATATCACCTGAGGTCAGGAGTTTGAGACCAGCCTGGCCAACAGTGAAACCTTATCTCTACTAAAAATATAAAAATTAGTTGGGTGTGGTGGTACGCAACTGTAATTCTAGCTACTTGGGAGGCTCAGGCAGGAGAATTGCTTGAATCCAGAGGTGCAGGTTGCTGTGAGCTGAGATAGTGCCACTGTACTACAGCATGGACGACAGAGCAAGACTCTGTCTCAAAAAAAAAAAGTTTGAATAATTTTTTAATGATTTATAATCAGGTAATTACATTTTTTTCAAGTCTACGTAGTCTAAAAGGTTTTTTTTAGGTTGGGTATTGTGGCTTGCACTTGTAACCCTAGCACTTTGGGAGGCTGAGGCAGGCGGATTATGAGGTCAGGAGTTTGAGACCAGCCTGGCCAACATGGTGAAACCTCGTCTCTACTAAAAATAGAAAAATTAGCTGGGCATGGTGGTAGGTGCCTGTAATCCCAGCTACTAGGGAGGCAGAGGCAGGAGAATTGCTTGAACCTGGGAGGTGGAGGTTGCAGTGAGCTGAGATTGTGCTCTTGCATTCCATCCTGGGCAACAGAGTGAGACTCTCTCTCAAAAAAAAAAAAAAAAAAAAAAGCAAAAACTCAGTTTTTTTTTAAGAGACAAGGTCTCACCCTTGCCCAAGCTGGAGTGCGGGGGTTTGATCATAGCTCACTGCAGTCTTGACCTCCTGGGCTGAAGCCACCCTCTTGAGTAGCTGGGATCACAGGCGTGCACCACCATGCCTAGGTAAAACAATGAAAAACAGTTTGTGTGTAGAAACAGGGTCTCATTATGTTGCCTAGGCTGCCCTTGTACTCCTGGGCTCAAGCGATCTTCCCACCTTGGCCTCCTAAAGTGTGGGGGTTGTAGGTGTGAGTCTGAGCCACTGCTCCCAGCCTGTGTGAGCTTTTTAGTGCTGGCTGTTTCTGCTGGTTCATGCTCATGGCTCCTTACTTTCTTGTGTACGTGGCTGTCACTATGGCAGTATGTAGCTCATTATGTTTGAAGAGTTCTTTGTCAGGGTTCCTAGATGCCAAGGCCGAGGCACCTTCCTCAGGAGAGGCTTTGCTTTTGCTTTTGCTAGGTGGCTTTGAGTCTGTGCAGCCTGGGAGTGACCACGTTCACAGGATGAAATTCTGAGCCTCCCAGGCAATAAGTCAGTGTAGGGCTGATCCATGGCCATGATTTATCAGGAGTTTGTTTTTATTACATTATTCTTCTGTATTTTTTTGAGACAAGGTCTCACTCTGTCACCCAGGCTGGAGTGCAGTGGTGCAGTTATGTCTTACTGTAGCCTTGACCTCCTGTGCTCAAGGGATCCTCCTACCTCAGCTTCCCAAGTAGCTGGGACCAGGTGTGTACCACCATGCCTGGCTAAATTAAATTTTTTTTTTTTTTTTTTTTTTTTTTTTTTAGAGATAGGGTCTCACTGTGATGTCCCGGCTAGTCTTGAACTCGAGCTCAAACAATCCTCCTGCCTTAGCCTCCCAAAGTGCTGGGGCTACAGGCATGAGCGCCTGCGCCAGGCTCCATTCTGCTTTTGTCTCATTCTGTTCAGTGACTTCCCCTGCAGTCTTCAGGGTGAGTTGGTTGGGCAGGCATGCCTCCGGTGTTGACTCCTAGGATGTGGCCCCGTGGGGGTCTCCTGGATTCCTCACCCTGGGTAGCTGAGAAGCTTGAGGCCAAACCTGCTGGTGGCGCAACGGCTGTTGGCCAGCCGTGGGCTGGGCTTGGTGCTGCTCAGCCCCCTGGCCAGGCCGGGCTCTTCCCTTGCTCTTGATGCTCCTCAGTGTTTTTTTTTTTTTTAAGTTAGTGTCTGCTTCTTATTGCCCAGACTGGAATGCAGTGGTGCGCTCTTGCCTCACAGAAACCTCCGCCTCTGGTTCAAGAGATTGTCCTGCCTCAGCCTCCTGAGTAGCTGTAATGACAGGCACCTGACACCACGCCCGGCCAATTTTTGTAGTTTTAGTTGAGACAGGGTTTCACCATGTTCATCAGGCTGGTCTCAAACTCCTGACGTCAAGTGATCTGCCCACCTTGGCCTCCCAAAATGCTGGGATTACAGATGTGAGCCACCATGCCCGGCCTTTTCAGTGTTTTTCTTTGGTGTTTTTTGGCCCAGCATTTTTGGTGGTTTTCACTGGGTACTGTGTCACGTGGCCTAGCCATGGCTGCTGGGTGGAGGCTCCTTCTCCCAGTTAGGAGTCACTGGCCTCTTTGTGTCACCCCTACGTGTAAACCGTGTGGAACAGGCCCCTGTGGGGACGGCCCTGGTGTTCCTGGTGTCTTACGTGCCTGTGGGCTCTGTCCGGCTCTCCAGGACCCCAGTTGGCTCCTGTGTCCTGCAGTGCAGGGGTATGCCTCCAGCCTTCTGTGCCTGTGAGAGGAAACCTCTTTGGAAATTTCTTCCTGATACCCACCCACATGCCCTCACATTGCCTCCCCATCTCCCCCTGAAAGATGGCCATGGGCCCCCTCCTGCTGCAGGGTCTCTGGGGCTGCCCCCCTGTGGAAACCTCCACTCAGTTCCTTTCCGTCTTTACCCTTGAGGGTCGACTCCCCTAGGGCAGGGCCTCGCTGGTAGCCCTCAACTCTGGATAACTGCAGGGAGCTCAGGGTGTCTCTAAAATGTGTATTGGATGAGGTCCTGGGTGCAGGGAAGACCTGAGTGCTGATTGCGTTAAGAGAAATGCAGCTGTTCCCAAAGGCTGCCTGGTAGTGCCGGCCTTGTGTCCACAGCATTCCCCAGATGTGTCCCCTGCGAGTCCTCGCTGCCTTCCCCCACCTGATCTGATGCTGCTGGTGACTCCTGGCTGCGCTTGTCGGCTGAACCCTGGGCTGTTTCTTGCACTCCTCGAGGCTGCCAGCTCTCCTGCTCCACATGAGTCGGGTTGATGTTGCTGCTTTGAAGGGGGACATGGGTAGGCTGGGCATGGCTCCTTGCAGCATCTTACGTGCTGTGACCTGTTTCAGGCTGTCCAGGCTTCGCTGAGGTTCTACAGACCTTCAGCACCTGCAAGAAGATGCTGGGCGAGATCCTGTCCGCATTTGAGTTCATGGATGCTGAGTGCATGCATCTGGTTGGCCGCCATCTCCACCTGGCCAGCCCTGTGCAAGGTACCGACCCCCTGCCGCTGGGCAGCGGCTCCTGCAGCTCCTCTTGCACCTCGGGACGTGTGGGACGGCTCAGAGGCCCTGGGTGGTGGAGGGTCCCTGGGCAGAGTGTGGAGTGGTGTCAGGCTCGTGTGTAAGAAAGCCGCTCCGAACATATTTAGGACAAAGAATAGGCCGCCTGGTCCTGTGTAATGTTTGCAGTTACACAGATTTCCTGGTCACCTACAAGAAGGACGGGAAGGAGCTAAGTTGAGTATGAACAGTGGCCGCTTTTGGACTTTGTTTCCATTTCTAGTTTTCTTTGTTTTCCCATATTGCTTTATGTAAGCATGTGTTACTTTTATGATGGGAAAAAGACCAATAATTTTTTTTTGCGGGGGATGGAGTTTTGCTCTTGCCCAGATTGGAGGACAGTGGGGCAGTCTCGGCTCACTGCAGACTCTGCCTACTGAGTTCAAGCAGTTCTCCTGCCTCAGCCTCCAGAGTAGCTGGGATTACAGTGTGTGCCACCATGCCCAGCTAATTTTTTTAAAAAATTTTTTGGTGAGACAGCATTTTACCATGTTGGCCAGGCTCGTCTCGAACTCTTGACCTCGGGTGATCCACCCCCACTTGGCCTCCCAGAGTACTGGGATGACAGGCCTGAGCTACTGCACCCAGCCTGTTTATTTCTGGGAGACAAGGTCTCATTCTGTGGCTCAGGCTGGCGTACAGTGGATCATGGCTCGCTGTAGCCTCCAACTTCTGGGATCACGTGATCCTCCCACCTCAGTTTCCTGGGTAGCTGTGATCACAGGCATGTGCCTCCAAGCTCAGCTAAGTCTTAATTTTTTTTTAGTTTAGTAGGTACGGAGTCTCATTCTGTTGCCCAGGCTGCTCTCAAACTCTTGAGCTCAAGAAACCTGCCCAGCTTGGCCTCCCAAAGTGCTGGGATCACAGGTGTGAGCCACCTCTCCTGGCCTGGAATTTTCAAATGTCCGTAAAATAGAGCCTCGTGGTGAAGAGCATGCTCTGGTGGAAGTGGCCTCTCAGTGTCTGAGGCCATCACAGGTCCCACCCCATTGCAGCAGCTTCTCCCGACCCTTGCATTTGCTGAGTGGAAAGCCCGCCCCAAGGCCAGTGGGAGGCCCAGAGCAGGTGGAGTGGCCCTCAGGGCTGCTTTGTGCTTTCCAGGGAGTGACATTTCTCTTTGAGATGGAGTTTCACTTTTGTGGCCCAGGCTGGAGTGCAGCGGCATGATCTCAGCTCACCGCAACCTCCGCCTCCCAGGTTCAAGCGATTCTCTTGCCTCAGACTCCTGAGTAGCTGGGACTACAGGCACCTGCCACCACCCTGACTATCTTTTGTGTATTTAGTAGAAATGGGGTTTCACCATGTTGACCAGGCTGGTCTCGAACTCCTGACCTCAGGTGATCTGCCCATCTCAGCCTTCCAAAGTGCTGGGATTACAGGCCTGAGCCACTGCGCCTGGCCAAAAGACGACTTTTTAAACCGTATGAAACAGCTCAACCAGAGAGTCGTGTGCTCCGCAGGCCGCCTGTGTCCTTCTTGGCTGCAGAAGATCAGTGGTTGCTATTTCAGCCCTTCCACCCAAGCAGCCCTGATTCCCGCCCTGGCAGCTGGAGCCTCTGCTCACCCCGCCTTCCTTGCTCACTTCTAGAGAGCCCGTTTTACATCCTCATCGAGACTTCAGGCTCCAACGCAGGCCACGATGCTGAGAAGTTGGGCAGCTTCCTGGAGCACGCGCTGGGCTCCAGCCTGGTGACCGACGGGACCATGGCCACCGACCAGAGGAAAGTCAAGGTGCCCTGTGTGCTGCTCGAGGGCCCCTCCCTCCCTCCCTGCTGGTCCACTCCAGCCTTGTCTCGTGCGGCCCAGAAGGTGTCATTGGTGCAGCCTAGACAGTGTGGGGTGGGGCTGAAATGCGACCAGGTTTCATGGCTTTGATAGAGTAGCCTCTGGATGGAAAATGTACTCCTGGTGTCTAGGTCATTTTCATTAATATTTAAAGCACTTCCTCCCCTCCATGTGCCTCCCCCACCCCAAGCTGCGGGATGAGCAAGGAGATTGCCCCATTGCCGGCCCCCTGGCGCCTGAGGTCCAGCCACCAGTCAGCGGCAACTCCTTTGCAAAGAGTTGTGTAGAATGAGTAGAGGCAGGAGGAACCCCAGGCGCTGTGGAGGCTTAACCTGGACCTTGAGAATCCTGGGGTGGTCAGTTTTCCAGAGGAAGGGGCATTGACTGTGTTAACAGATGATTTGGCCTCTTGGAGGCCAAAGGAAGGAGGGGCAAGGCCTGGGCAGGGAGCCCCCCGTCACCTTCACCGGGGCCTGGGCAGGGAGCCCCCCCGTCACCTTCACCGGGGCCTGGGCAGGGGGAGCCCCCCGTCACCCTCACCGGGGCCTGGGCAGGGGGAGCCCCCCGTCACCCTCACCGGGGCCTGGGCAGGGGGAGCCCCCCCGTCACCTTCGCCGGGGCCTGGGCAGGGGGAGCCCCCCGTCACCTTCGCCGGGGCCTGGGCAGGGGGAGCCCCCCGTCACCTTCACCGGGGCCTGGGCAGGCGGAGCCCCCCGTCACCTTCACTGGGGCCAGGGCAGGGATCCCCCTGTCACCTTCACCGGGGCCTGGGCAAGGGGACCCCCCTGTCACCTTCACCGGGGCCTGGGCAAGGGGAGCCCCCTGTCACCTTCACCGGGGCCTGGGCAAGGGGAGCCCCCTGTCACCTTCACCGGGGCCTGGGCAGGGGGTGCAGGCCTTTGTCTCCCGCTGAGTTGATTCCAGGCTCGCCTTAGCCTGGGTCTTGCCCTTACTGTCTCCCCTGTAATCTTCTCCACCGCCTGACTGTCGTGGTTCCACTGCTTCTGGACAGAACAGTGCCTGCTCCCAAGGGCTGGGGTGTGGTTGGCTGGGCTCACTGCTGTGACCCGCTGCCCAGGCTGGGGTACCCTCTGGGTGGATGACAGCTGTGTGATGTGTCTGTTGACTGGCATCGTCGAATGTGCAGGAAAAAGGAGGAGAAAGCAGGAAAGGCATTCCTCGGTCTCTGTCTGCCTTTCCTGCTGTCTCCTAAGTGACTGTGACAGTCGGCTCCTATACATTCTGCCGCAGTAACAAGCAGTCCCCAGACCCCAGTGACCGCAGGAACAGCAGAGGCTCCTCCCTCTCATTCTGTGTGGGTGATTGATGTGGCTGCGTCTGCTCCTGTGACTTCCAGTTCAGGGGCTCAGGCTGACACCACTGCCTGGCCAGTCAGTCTGTTCTCCAGCAGAAAGAGCAGGATGGCTTGAGGGAACACTACTGGGGCTTCTCAGCTTCTGTCTGGAAGGCAAGCAGTGTGAGCCCATCTGTGCTTGGTGGTAGAGGTGGGGGACCCTTGTCCGCAGTGGCTGCTTTGCTGGGGTGGCAGTCATGCAGCTGCCATGCCACCCCAAGGTAGACTGCCCCCACGCCCTCAGCCTCTGCACATCAGCACCCCCGTAACCCCCATGCCCCCAGCCTCCCCACATTAGTCCCTATGCCCCTCTGAGCCTCTGCACAGTAGCCCCTATGCCCCTGCCCAGCCTCTGTACATTAGCCCCATGGCTCCCCACTAGCCTCCACACATCAGCCCCACACCTCCCCCAGGCAGGCTGCCCCCACACCCTCACAGTCCCCATATCAGGCCCCCGCAACCCCAAGGCAGGCTGCCCCCACACCCCCAGCCTCCACACATTAGCCCCACGTTTCCCCCAGGCAGGCTACCCCCATTCCCTCACAGCCCCCGTATCGGGCCCCTGCAACCCCCAGGCAGGCTGCCCCCAATGTCGCCAATGTCCCCACATCAGCCCCCTGCAACCCCCAGGGAGCTGCCCCCAGCCTCCCCACGTGAGTCCCTGTGCCCCACCCAGCCTCCCCACATGAGCCCCTATGCCCCCCCAGCCTCCCCACATGAGCCTGCAGCACCCCCCCAGCAACTCAAATGAGCCTGCAGCCCCTCCGCAGCCTGGTCCAGTCCTAGACTTGTGCCTTGAACATTGATGCCCAGAGCTGGGCTCCTGACCAGGACAGGGCGGGGCAGGGCTGGTCCTGTGTTCACAAAGTCACCTGCAGAAGCTTCCTGGGCCGGGTTCGGGAGAGGCTCCTGTATCTGTCAGCGCCTCATTCTGCTTCATGCTTGACTGGCAGGTCGCCTGGCTTTGTGCTTTGCCAATAGCAAAACCACCCTGTCTTAGGTGTTGGACTTGGTGGGTTGGCCCGGATGTGCAGTTGTGTGCAGTCGCCCTGAGGCTTTTCTCTGCTGTCGTCTGGTGTTGCCCAAGGCTTTGGACAGGTCCTGAGCCCACGGTTTCCACTTCTTGGTGGTCTCTTCCTCCTGGGAGCCCTGGGTTTTGGGACATGTTGAGAAGATGGGCCTTGTGCAGGTCCGGCTGCTGCCAAGGGGGCCCTGTGTTTAACCGGGGACTCTGTGCCCTTCCCCAGGCCTGCCGGAGCCTCACCCCACCCAAGTGGAAGCCACACTGGTCCCACCAGGTGCCCTGGGCCCTTCTGAGCCGTGACCTCGGCGGCCCTCACTGGCACTGCCTGTCCACCCGTTTCGTGTCGTTTGGTTAGCAGACCTGTCGGGGAGATGCCTCCTGTGCCCTTTGCCTACCGGGTTACAGCAGCAACCAGAGCAGGAGAAGCCCTGGCCACAAAACTCACAAAGCAGAAGGAGCAAGCTCAGCCTGTGGCCCCTTGGAGCCAGCAAGCGCCCGGGAGGAGGGCAGGGCCAGGCAGGGTCATGGGTCGTGCCTGGGAGTGCCAGGAGGATTGGAAAGATGACCCTGAGGGGTCATTTCAGCAAAGACAGGGTGTGAGGAACAGGAAGTCTGGTGCAGGAGCACCAAGGCCCTGAGGGGCGTGTATGCCTGCCGTGTTCTAGAACCTTCCACAGATGGGCATGGAGCTGGCTGACTGAGGGGTGAGTGGGTGAAGTGAGAGCCTATCTTGTGGCCTTGGGATGCAAAGAGGTGAGAAGGCCCCTCAGGCAGCTGGTGCCTACCAGGCCATGGAGGGGAAAGCTGTGCCATGTGACCATGATGAAGGAGGGTCTGTAGGAGGTGCCTTTGCTCAGGGCATGGGGTGACCAAGACGAGCTCTGTCGGTTTATGAGGGGCCAGGCACAGTGGCTCACACCTGTCATCCCAGAGCTTTGGGAGGCTGAGGCAGGAGGATCGCTTGAGCCCAGGAGTTTGAGACCAGCCTGGGCAACAGGGTGAGACTTCAAAAAAATTAGGAAAAATTGATGGTGGGGAAATGGGGGAATTTTGGACACTGGCTAGATTCCCAGTGGTGGTGAGGAGTTATTTTTCTGTATGAGTGTAGCATTACGGTTATGTCAACAAAACAGAGCCTTTTTTTTTTTTTAATTTTTTTTTTTTTTTTTTTTTTTTTTTTGAGACGGAGTTTCACTCTTGTTACCCCAGGCTGGAGTGCAATGGCGCGATCTCGGCTCACCGCAACCTCCGCCTCCTGGGTTCAGGCAATTCTCCTGCCTCAGCCTCCTGAGTAGCTGGGATTACAGGCATACACCACCATGCCCAGCTAATTTTTTGTATTTTTAGTAGAGACGGGGTTTCATCACGTTGACCAGGATGGTCTCGATCTCTTGACCTCCTGATCCACCCGCCTCGGCCTCCCAAAGTGCTGGGATTACAGGCTTGAGCCACCGCGCCCGGCTTTTTTTCTTTTTGAGACGGGGTCTCTCACCAGGCTGGAGTGCAGTGACACAGCTGTGCCTCGACCTCCCGGCTCAAGCGATCCTCCTGCCTCCGCCTCCTGAGTAGCTGAGTCTGCAGGTGCCTGCCACCAAACCTAGCTGATTTTTTTTTTTTGAGATGGAGTTTCGCTCTTGTTGCCCAGGCTGGAGTGCAATGGCGCGATCTCGGCTCACCACAGCCTCTGCCTCCTGGGTTCAAGCGATTCTCCTGCCTCAGCCTCCTGAGTAGCTGGGACTGCAGGCACGTGCCACCATACCCAGCTAATTTTTTGTATTTTTAGTAGAGACGGGGTTTCACCATGTTGACCAGGATGGTCTTCATCTCTTGACCTCGTGATCCATCTGCGTCTTGAGACACTGCGACCAGCTAATTTTTTTTTTTTTCTTAAGAGACGGAGTCTCTGTGTGGCTGAGGCTGGTCTCGACTCCTGGGCTCAAGCGATCCTCCTGCCTCAGCCTCTCAAAGCTCTGGGATGACAGGTGTGAGCCACCGGGCCCACCCAAGCGTCTTTCTCTTAGAGTTTCCTGAATGATGGAGTCTCTGGAGGGGCAGGTGCTGGGCTTGAGCCCTGAGCGGGTCCCTGCAGCCCAGGGAGAGTGGCCCTGTCCTCTTCCTTGTAGACGCACATCTCCACAATGAAAGTCTGAGGCAAGTGAAAGTCAAGCAACACAGGCCGGTCTGCCTGAGCCCAGGGTTTGGCCCCAGGTTCTGTTCTGCCTGGTTCCTGCTTCAGCCACTAGCACCATCTGTTTTTCTTCAGATTCCTTCCTCCCCAACGGCCCACCCACCACCGTGTGCCTCCCTCCCCACGGCCCACCCACCCGCCATGTCCTCCCTCCCCACGGCCCACCCACCACCATGTGCCTCCCTCCCCACGGCCCACCCACCTGCCATGTCCCTCCTCCCCACGGCCCACCCACCACCATGTCCCTCCTCCCCACGGCCCACCCACCACCATGTGCCTCCCTCTCCACGGCCCACCCACCACCATGTGCCTCCCTCCCCACGGCCCACCCACCTGCCATGTCCCTCCTCCCCACGGCCCACCCACCACCATGTCCCTCCTCCCCACGGCCCACCCACCACCATGTGCCTCCCTCCCCACGGCCCACCCACCCGCCATGTCCTCCCTCCCCACGGCCCACCCACCACCATGTGCCTCCCTCCCCACGGCCCACCCACCCGCCATGTCCTCCCTCCCCACGGCCCACCCACCACCATGTGCCTCCCTCCCCACGGCCCACCCACCCGCCATGTCCTCCCTCCCCACGGCCCACCCACCACCATGTGCCTCCCTCCCCACGGCCCACCCACCCGCCACGTCCTCCCTCCCCACGGCCCACCCACCACCATGTGCCTCCCTCCCCACGGCCCACCCACCCGCCATGTCCCTCCTCCCCAACGGCCCACCCACCTGCCATGTCCCTCCTCCCCACGGCCCACCCACCACCATGTCCCTCCTCCCCACGGCCCACCCACCACCATGTCCCTCCTCCCCACGGCCCACCCACCCGCTATGTCCTCCCTCCCCACGGCCCACCCACCCGCCACGTCCCTCCTCCCCACGGCCCACCCACCCGCCACGTCCCTCCTCCCCACGGCCCACCCACCCGCCATGTCCCTCCCTCCTAGATGGCCTGCCTGCTGCGTCCCTCCCGCCCTGACATACCCCTTGAGCTGCATGTGCTCTGTGCTGTCCTCCTGTCTGCCTTCGTCCGTTTTTGTGCCCCTTCCCTACCCTGCCCTGGTTCAGGGAGTGTCCAGGGCCCATCCTCATCCTCAGGGCCTTCCCTGGCCCTTGCTGCTCTGTCCTGACATGACCTGAAGCTGCAGAGTGTGCACCTCCTGCCCCCGTCATTGCTGACCCCCTCCTAGGAGGTGCTCCCCCGCCTGATTGCCAGGGTCCCAGGGGACTTGGTGCTGCCATGGAGCCTGGGGCATTCACTGTCTTGGGTTGGAGTGTGACAGCTGGTCTGGGGTATTCACTGTCTTGGGTCAATTCTGGGGTTGAAGTCACACCTGGTTCTGGGCATTGACTGTCACAGGTCAGTTCTGGGGTTGGAGCCACAGCTGGTCAGGTACAGTCACAGCTCCGGGTGGATTCTGGGGTCGGAGCCACAGCTGGTCTGGGACAGTCACAGCTCCGGGTGGATTCTGGGGTCGGAGCCACAGCTGGTCTGGGACAGTCACTGCTCCGGGTGGATTCTGGGGTCGGAGCCACAGCTGGTCTGGGACAGTCATAACTCTGGGTCGATTCTGGGGTCGGAGCCACAGCTGGTCTGGGAGAGTCACAGCTCCGGGTGGATTCTGGGGTCGGAGCCACAGCTGGTCTGGGAGAGTCACAGCTCCGGGTGGATTCTGGGGTCGGAGCCACAGCTGGTCTGGGAGAGTCACTGCTCTGGGTGGATTCTGGGGTTGGAGTCACAGCTGGTCTGGGTATTCACTGTCCTGGGTCTATTCCAGAGTGGGAGCTACACCTGGTCTGGGGCAGTCACTGTCCTGGGTCAGTTTTGGGGTCGGAGCCACAGCTGGTGAATAAGCAGAACGTGCCGCCACCCAACCCAGTGTGGTGTGCCCCTGGGTGCCGTCCCCGTCACCAGCCTGTGTCTCGCCTCATCTCATCCTTAGATGCTGTGGGCCCTGAGGGAGCGGATCACGGAGGCACTGAGTCGGGACGGCTACGTGTACAAGTACGACCTCTCCCTCCCCGTGGAGCGGCTCTACGACATCGTGACCGACCTGCGTGCCCGCCTTGGCCCGCAGGCCAAGCACGTGGTGGGCTACGGCCACCTGGGTGAGCGGCGCCCTGGGGCCGCGGTGGTCCTGCGTGTGCTGGGTGGTGGGCTCCACTGTCACAGTCGCCCGTGGGGCTGTGAGGCAGCGCAGGTTGGCCGTGGTCTCTGGCTCAGCACGTCTCCCGTAGATGCCGGCAGACCACCACATCTAACGGGGAAGGGAAAATCCTCGTCATTGTCATTACTTGTTTTGGGTATTTTGGAAAGGACTCTGCTGTTGTGCACTTCTAATGGCAGAGCACATGGCTCAGCTTGCCAGACATTCCGGGGTCTTCGCTGGAATGCACAGTTGGGGGGCATTAGCCTTGACCCCGGAGTTCAGGATGCGGGTCTCGGGGGCCCCTCCCGCAGGGCCCGGCCCCCAGGCCTCTTCAGTGCTTGGCACATACCCCTTCAGATGGAAGGATTTCAAAACCAGTTTCTGATCATCTTTTTTTTTTTTGCAGAAAAATCATGCTTTCACATGCAGGCTATTAATTCGTAAGAAGAAAATGTTTCATTACTATTTTTTTTTGAGACAGAGTTTCACTCTTGTTGTCCAAGCTGGAGAGCCATGGTGCAATATTGGCTCACTGCAACCTCCACCTGATGGGTTCAAGTGATTCTCCTGCTTCAGCCTCCTAAGTAACTGGGATTATAGTCACCTGCCACCAAACCTGGCTAATTTTTATATTTTTAGTAGAGACAGGGTTTCACCATATTGCCCAGGCTGGTCTTGAACGCCTGACCTCCAGTGATCTTCCCGCCTCGGCTTCCCAAAGTGCTGGGATTACAGGAGTGAGCCGCTGTGCTGGGCCATTTTCTTACCGGTTCTTTGGAGCCCTGGAGTAAGGTGTCTAAAAAGGCCAGCTTATAGGGCAGGGGTGGAACAGGGCTCGGGGTGTGGAGTGTGGCTTTGGGGCCTGAT